GTGTTCTGTAAGAGTTGTTCCACGTGTAGATGTATTTCTGGTGTATCCGTGGGGAGGAAGGCGATCTCCGCGTCTTACTCTTCCGCCATCTTCAAGGTCCCCCCTCTCCTTATTTTTAAATGGTCCCTCTGAAACCTAAGAGCTGTTAGTGCTACCTCTTAAATAGGATTTTTACAAGTATTTTTCTTTCTGTGTGTGAATTGTATGTTTGTTTTGCTTTAAGACTCCAGCGACTACTCTGTAGATGATGAATGCTTAGTGAAGTTGCTGAAAGGATGCTGCCTGAAGAACTTACAGCGGCCTTTGCAAGCGGAATTGTGTTTCAATCACGTTGTCCAAAGGTAAAAGCGGACAATGAAACCAACTTAAGTGCAAATTGTGGTTTCTGGGGAATCGCCGTGAGAAAGTGATGCTTTTATCTCCCGTTGCTAACCTTTTACTTGGTGTTACCAGAAAGAGAATCCAGTAATGTTTTCTTTATTCTTTGAGAAAAAAATTATAACCTAAGTGGAACGTGGTGTTATGCCTTTCTACCTGGTGTTCAGAGGTGACTTACAAAAGCTAAATTTACAGCCAGGCTGACATGTGTCTGTCTAAATTCTGGCAGCAATGTACAGAACATCTGATACTTTTTTGATTCATGCATTTGTCTGTCATTCATTTATTCCACAGATATTTGAGTACCTATTATGTGCCAGAGACTGTGATCCTGAATCCTAGGGATTCAAAGTTGAGTAGAAAGACTCGCCATCATTGTAATGATAATGTGACAGGAAAGAACGACTGTGATGAATACTAAAACTGCTTCTCTTTTGGCAAGGGGTATTTTTCTGTAGATGAATGAGTTTTAACCCCCCAAGAGCATTGATCATGATGTCCTGCTCTTTCGCTAATTAGAGAGTTGAGTCAAGGTTCTGATGCCTGACCCTCTTCTCTACATCTGGAGTCACAAATGCAATTACAGGGGCCAGACAAGTAACCTTACTGAACAATGGCAGGAATAGGGATTAGTGGGCACTGCAGATTAGGGAGATTGTGTGTTCTCTCTAAAGAATGCAGCCACTCCTGAGCTCTAATTGATTATTGCTCTGGACAGTGTGGGCCCAGTAGCAATAATCCCTACAATTTTTTTTTTTTTTTTTTTTTTTTTGGCTGTGTTGGGTCTTCGCAGGCTTTCTCTAGTTGCAGCGAGTGGGGGCTACTCTTCGTGGCAGTCCACGAGCTTCTCACTGTGGTGGCTTCTCTTGTTGCGGAGCACAGGCTCTAGGTGTGAGGGCTTCAGTAGTTGTAGCGTGTGGGCTCAGTAGTTGTGACACACGGGCTTAGTTGCTCCGCGGCATGTGGGATCTTCCCGGACCAGGGATCGAACCTGTGTCCCCTGCATTGGCAGGCAGATTCTTAATGACTGTGCCACCAGGGAAGTCCCTACAATTTTTCATGGAAAGCCTGGAATCTGAATTTTGTATAACATCTCCAGATTTTTAAATCTTGGCTCAAGTTTTTGGAAACCATTGTGTAAGCCAAATAGATCACAGCCATAGACTGCCGGTTGACGTTTTTTGTTCCATATCATATACCTTTCCATCCATAGCTACTGATCTGCCTCTTTCTGACTATATATTATGAGAATGTAGGAGGACCGGTGTCCTTCTAAGAAGCTGAAAGAGACAATATCTATTTCCCAAATAAGTAATATACAGGCTTTAGTAAACATGTTAAAGAAGTATCCGTTGAGTTCTCTTTTATTGGTGTTTTTATTAGGATCAAAAGGATGACCCATTTGGGCTATTTGTTGTATTTTTTGAATCTCATAGTGAATTGCTTGCCGATGTATTTTATAGTTTTGGATTGTCAGTTCACCTTCAGTGGGGTTTTATCTTGAGGCTCCTATGAGGCTAGGATTGAGGAATAGTCTCTCTCTAAAGTGATTTTGCTTTTATTTCTGCCAGATGCCCAAAAGGCTTTTCCAGGCCAGGGCCACCTTCATGTTAATTTCATTGCTTAGAAGTTCTTGGATCATTTGGGCCACATAAATTTGAATTGCAGATTCATGTGAGGGCAGGCCTATTGGTTATTAATTTCCTAAGGGATGTGTTTTTTCCCACCCCCCCTCACCTAGACCTCAGGCCAAGGAGCCAACTGCCCCTGTCTTCCTCCTATGCTGCAAGTGGGTTTTTCTCATCTGCCCTTTCTCTGGTGGAGCAGAGCCCCAGCTTTATGTAGAGTCTCAGCCCAGGCTCTACATACTATGTGGACCCAAGGCCTCACCTCCTGTGTGGACATTGAGACACAAAGCCCTGGCTGATTCAGACTGAAACAGACCTAGGGGTGCTTTGGCATCATGCACACACTTAGAGTTCTGGTTTTGTTTTGCTTTCAGTTTGAGAGTTTTCCTTATGTCCTTGTGAGCTGAGCTCTGCATTTTAAAGGGTGTTGCTCTTATTTTTTTGAGTGCTTCTAGATGTTTTGTAGTCAGAGAATTTTCATAATACTGCTGAAAACCAAAGTGTTGACCACTTCTTTCTTGACATTTTGAAGCATTATAAGACAGCAGTGCAAAGAGAGTTCAACCTCAGTGAGAAATAAGTGGCATCGTTTTCTGAGTGGAGTCATTTCCTGAACACATTCATGTTCAGGAGGGATGATCTTATCCTTTCTAGGGTTAATCTTTGAAGATCTGCATGCGTTTGTATACCTGAAGGTCAGTAACCAATCATCAGTGCTGGATTTATATTAAGGAATAAAATAAAAGAGTAATATAAGGAATTCCCTGGCGGTCCAGTGGTTAGGACTCCGTGCTTCCACTGCAGGGGGCATGGGTTCAATCCCTGGTCGGGGAACTAAGATCCTGCATGTCAGAGCTTGGCCAAAAAAAAAAAAAAAAAAAGTAAAAAAGAAAAAAAAGAGTAATATATTAAAAGCATACTATTTATTGCCATGGTTTATTAGGTTCTTTAACTATATAATGACAGCTTTTCTCTGATAATAGTCTTAGTGCTGTAGCTGTTTTCTTAAGAATGGGGAAAAATACATATATGTTGGAAAAGAATGATATGTTCCTTGTTCTTTTAAGACTTAATTGCTTTTCATTTGCTCTTTTAGTGAAAAGCTACTGAAGTATGACCACTACCTAGTGCCATTTACTCTGTTTGAGTTGGCATTTTTGTATAAAAACCAAGGGGAAATTGACAAGGCCATAAAGGTCCTAGAAACTGCAAGGTAAGTGATAACGGCAGCTTCTCTTTGATTGCTATGGAGTCAGGAATGTCAATACAATTTTAACAACAGCAGTAACTTGATACACTTAAAATGAACACATTAATGAAAAATTAGTCACAATTTTACACTTGCTAATTTATGCTTAGTTTCTGCCTGTGGCTTTTGCTGGAATTGTGCTGTTTCCAACCCTTTTTTTTTTTTTTTTTTTTTTGCGGTACACGTGCCTCTCACTGTTGCGGCCTCTCCCGTTGCGGAGCACAGGCTCAGCGGCCATGGCTCACGGGCCCAGCTGCTCCGTGGCGTGTGGGATCTTCCCGGACTGGAGCACGAACCCATATCCCCTGCATTGGCAGGCAGACTCTCAACCACTGCACCACCAGGGAAGCCCTCCAACCCTCTTAATGCCTGACCCTGTGGCTGTTTACACATGTTGTGATTTTGGGGACCTACAAGACAGATTTCTGGCCTATCCTCTTCTATATCAGGGGTCAGCAAACTTTTTCTGTAAAGGGCCAATTAGTAAGTATTTTTGGCTTTACAGTATAAGGTCTCCATTGCAACTACTCAATTGTATTAAAAGCAGCCATAGAAGACAATATGTAAATAAATGGGTGTGCCCAGATTTGGCCATAATTTTTGTCATAGTTTGCCGATCCTTGGTGTGTTCCACCATCTCTCTTATTTCCTTAAAGAGCCATTGATTTGAAGAAGCCCTTTGAATCTTCTCCTCTTTCTTCTTTCTGACTACTGTGGCAGTTTCAAAGCATTTTATCAATTCTGCTGTCCAGTGGCTCTCAGACCTCCTGTGATCATGGCTCACTTACTGGAGGCACAAACCCTGTGGTCTGCTTGCTTTGAACACTACTTGCCATGGAGAAAGAATGCCATGATAGCTGTAGGCCATAAATAGCTTGCTGATTCACTAGTTTGTTCATTTACTCAAATTCAGGAGAGCATTCACTGAGTACCTATTATGTGCTAGACACTAGAAAAGGTTCTAGATAGACAACTGTGCATAAACAGGCAATGTTTCTACCTTCTAAGTTGAGGGCTATTGGTAAATAAACAAATAAGAAGAGTAGCAATGGTATGTGCTTTGCTGAGATTTACGATATGATACAGGGTACTCGAGTGCTACTTTAGATTGAGTTGATTCTGGAAGGTTTCCTTGAGGTGGTATGTAGTTGAGATTAGCATAATTAAAGCCAGTCCTGAGAAGACCAGTCACCAGAGGACTGCATGAGGAGCATTCTTGGCTGGGGGGTGGAGTGGGGAGGGTGTTGAGCCACGAGGTTGATAATGCTTCTTGAATGAAATGGGGAATACTTAGAGGATAAGGATTGAGGAGAGAGAGAGAGAGAAAAAAAAACTTACTCCTGTTTGGACTGTGATATTTTGAGGTGCCTATAGGTATTCATGTGGAGATGGTGAGTTGGCAGTCATATATACCAGCATGGAGTTCAGTGTAAAGGTCAAGGCCAAATGTAGATATTTCAAAGTCACCAGAACAGAGACAGTGATATTTAAAGCTGTGGTGCTTGATGAGGTCATTTGGGGAAAGTTATACAGCTAGAGAAGGAGATCCAGCATAGAGCCTTGGGATATGCCATCATTTTAGAGATTAAACAAGAAGATTAAGAAGCGGCCAGTGAGTTAGGAGGACATCCGGGAAAGCCAAGTGAACAAAGTGTTTCAAAAGAAGAGAGTGGTCAGTTGTGAAGAGTGCTGCCAAGAGGTCAATCAAGGTGAGACCAGAGAAGTGGCTGCTGAACTTGGCAGCATGATCGTTGGTGACTTTGACAAGCAAGGTGAGAAAGTGGAGTTTGCTACTCCAGGCAACTCTTTCAGGATATTTGGCTGTGAATAAAGCATAGTAATGGGGCAGAAGCTTTGGAGGCACAGTGGAGCCAAGAGAGGTTTCATTATCTTTTTTTTTTAAGCCGAGGATATGAGAGAAAGTCACTTTTAAAGTTAATTTGTTGAGAGTGAGTATGACTCCTATGTCAACTGACATTCATGTATCTTCAAATCTATTGAAAATTTGGGACTAAAAATACGGTTTCTAAGTATTCATATCATTTGGACATATTTGGTGTTATCTAAGCAATGCACAATAAGGCAACTTTATAACAATGAAAATAAAAGACTAGTAATTCACTATGAAAAAGCAAGACCAGCAGTGATCAAAAGTCACCACTAACTCAAGACAGTCCCAGTGATGTCAACATAAACAGACGTTCCATAATTTCAAGACTGTTGATTATCTGTAGTTTTCTTTGTGCAGTAGGAGCTTTGCAAAACTTCCGAAGTTAATTAGGGAAATACTCAATTACGTCCTTTGGTAAACTCTAGTAAGATGTTGGCTTAGCTTATGAATAATAACCCTCATTATGAATAATAACCCTTACCAAGGTTACCAGTAAGTAACCCTTAGACCTGTATAAAGTAAAGGGCTGTAGAAAGAAATGAATGCCACTGCAAAGAAAGTACAGCTCTCCCATGGGCCACGGTGGTGTGTGAAAGCAGAGCCCAAGGTCCAAAGCATTCCATTTTGCTGATTCTGAACAATTCTAGCAAAGAGAAGTCAACATGGATGATCTAAGTGAAGTTTTTAAATAATCTGTGGATTTCTAATGCCCCTCCTGACATTGTCACATAATAATTATTGATCAAACCATTGATATTTGCCCATCAGAATTGCAGTAAGTAATTTTGGTGTCACCAAGTAATCCTGCTATCTTTGTTGTAATTGTCGTTTTGTGCGAGTTTCTATATCTATATCTAAATCTATCTATATATATATAAATTTGTGTGTGTGTGTGTGGTGGCGGTGAATGATTATGTTCACCTTGTTTTTACAGGCTGCCAGAAATTTCCAGTTTAGAAAAGGAGGTCAACTCTTTAAAAATAGTTCACAAAATTTGTTAAGCCCTCCATGTAACCTTCTTGCTTGTTTGTGAATGGTTTGGTAATTACATATAAACCTTGCTAGTCAAAGCATGCTTTTTAGACCACCACCAGGAAGCTTCTAGAAATACAGAATATTGCAGTCCTCATCTCCTCCCAGGACCAGAATCTGCATTTTAACGAAATCCACTGTTATGCATATTAACGTTTGAAAGCAAATAAGGAATGAAGATGAGAGGAGGGGGAGGAGGGTGGTGGTGCCCTGGTGTATAAATGAATTTTGACATTACAATATTATTGTTATTTATCTTTAGAAATAACTACAAAGATTACTCACTGGAGTCCAGACTACACTTCAGAATTCAGGCAGCTCTTCACCTCTGGAAAAAACCTTCCTCAGATTGATCAGAACATGAAGGATGGAATTTTCTCTCAATTAGTACCGGCATCTGCTATAGATTAGACCTTGTATTAAAGTGGAAAAATGATCTTGTGAATGTGAGACAAAAAACTAATTTTACTGTCAATATTTTCTATCACCTGTGTGGTTTACTATTGGCCTACATAAATGGGTTTTTTTTCCTATGGAATGATGTTCAATAATATCTAGAAAACTCTTATATTCTGCATCTCCAAAAAGAATTTCATATCCGATTTGAATTGGAGAGTGAAAAGTCTTTTAAAAGGACTCGCAGGTACAGTAAAGTATAATTAGATTATTTATTTTTTTAATGTGGAAATGAATATTGTGTAAGTAGCAAATGGCTTACAACCTAAGCATTTTTAGCATGTTGGTCAGTTAAACTTCAGAGATATTTTGTTGCCTAGCATTTAAGTTTCAGAGGGGAAATAAGAATCACCTACATTCAAAATAGCTCAATAACTTTCCGAAAACTCCTGAAAAAGACAGGCAATGGGTGTGAACAGGACAGGTGATGTAGGTAATAGGTTGAAAGACCTGTATCTAGAAAAGGTGATGAAATGTTATTGTTTTTTATTCTTCATGTAAGTTGCAGGTGGTGACAGTTCTGAGAGACTATCCTGTGTTTTTGTTGTTGTTGTTGTTGTTTTTGCGATACGCGGGCCTCTCACTGTTGTGGCCTCTCCCGTTGCGGAGCACAGGCTCCGGATGTGCAGGCTCAGTGGCCATGGCTCACGGGCCCAGCCGCTCCGCGGCATGTGGGATCTTCCCAGACCGGGGCACGAACCCACATCCCCTGCATCGGCAGGCGGACTCTGAACCACTGCGCCACCAGGGAAGCCCTATCCTGTTTTTGAATGTACTTAAGTCTGTTATTATTATAACAAAATTCAAAAAAATTCCATGTATCTAAAGGGAAAAGAAGTTATATTTTAGAAAATTTCCTTAACCTTAACAATGAGCGCCTAAAATATATACGTTGACTATTTTTCTTATAAAGTTCCTGCTGCTTTCAATGATATGTAAAATAATAATTTTTACACTTGTAATGTTGGTGTGTAAGGTCTAATCTGCTCATTTCTCTAGCACTGTGATGGTTCCTTGTAAATATCTGGACTGTGCTTAGTCCTTTAATTTGCAAACACAATCAGGGCATGGAGTGGAAGAGAGCCAGCTCTGTGGTCCTGGCTCTGCTGTCGGCAGTTACCGGGGTGACCTTTAGGGAGTTCTGTGCTCTCTCCATCGCCATATTTTCTTCATCTGTGAAATGGAAAAAGAACAGATGAATTTCAAGGTCTCTTTTCGTTTTATAACTGTGGGTCTGAGGCTGAGATATTTATTTTCAGCAAACAATGTTAAAATGTTTAATCCAGATCATTCCCACTTAGTGTGTGTTTTATTTTACAATCATCACTGCCCTCCCCAGCCCCTCAGCTCTCCAATATGTATGTGCAGTGGCTGAGGACAAGACTGCATCCAGAGCGACAAAAAACAGTTCATGAATCGATGAATCAGGGTTCTGTCTTATTTCTATTTTGAAGAATAACTTGTCTTGGAAGCCTCTGCAGTTTAACAAAAACAGCCCAGATTGGCAGTCAGGAGCCGAGTTCTATTAGTTAATAATATTTCCTCTACGTGGAGCAAGTCATTGACCCTTTCTGACACTCAGTTTCCCTGGTGGGGATGGCAACACAGAGCTTGGTGTTTGTGAGGGCTGTATTAGACAATGCATATGATAGCTTTTTATAAACTGAAAGGCTGCATGAATATGAGTTGTTGTAATAGTTACGGTTTTTATGTATGTATTACAGTATCAAAACAAAAGTATTGGCTTGAGTCTGTGGTCTCTGATATAAAATGAAAGTGTGGAGATTCAAACAAGTTTAAATTTATTTGAAGTGTTTGGCACTGACATGAGCTCACATTGTGAATTTGCTCCTTGCTGTTTATTCCCTGCTATATGAGCCTGTATCCAGCAGGTATTTGGTCTTGTTTTCTTTAAGGTACTAATTCTTGGCCAATACTGAGGATGTTTTTCCAGTGGAAAATGATGAATAGAACTCAACTCGGAGTTCCACCCCTTCAGATAATATTGGTGGTAGATTCATCGTGTGCTATTAATAGGAATTATATAACTTTACATTAGGACCAAATAAAAGAGAAAATAACTGTCATTACAATTAGTAAGGGAAAATCTGTTCAAAAATTTCTTTGAATATTACTTGGAAAAAAAAGTCTCCAAAGTTCTTAGAAGAGTTTTGGTAGCATTATTATTATTATTTTTTAATAATTAAAAAAAACGGTCATATTGCTTTTGTGAGAAGCTACAAGTCAGAGCAAAAGTGAGTAAAAAATGCACTTTCTGGTATGAAATGGAAACGATTTAAGGTAATGGTAGTTATTTTTGTTTTATTTTAACTCTGCATTACCAAAACAAATATAAAAATTCATATCTCCCATTAAGATTTTTCCTTTATTTGTTCTTATTTCGTTTGTATTTTCATTTCCTTTTCTTTTATAGTTACCTGATAATCTATCCAATGGATTTTTAAATGTTGTAATATCATTTGTTTATTTTTAAACATCTTTATTGGAGTATAATTGCTTTACAATGGTATGTTAGTTTCTGCCTTATAAGAAAGTGAATCAGCTCTACATATACATATACCCCATATCTCCTCCCGCTTGCGTCTCCTTCCCGCCCTCCCTATCTTACCCCTCTAGGTGGTCACAAAGCATCTCCCTGTGCTACGCGACTGCTTCCGACTAGCTATCTATTTTACATTTGGTAATATATATATGTCCATGCCACTCTCTCACTTTGTCCCAGCTAACCCTTCCCCCTCCCCATGTCCTCAAGTCCATTCTCTATGTCTGCGTCTTTATTCCTGTCCTACCCCTAGGTTCTTCAGAACCATTTTTTTTAGATTCCATATATATGTGTTAGCATACGGTATTTGTTTTTCTGTTTCTGACTTACTTTACCCTATATGACAGACTCTAGGTCCATCTAACTCACTACAAATAACTCAATTTCATTTCTTTTTATGGCTGAGTAATATTCCATCGTATATATGTGTCACATCTTCTTTATCCATTCATCTGTTGATGGACACTTAGGTTGCATCCATGTCCTGGCTATTGTAAATAGAGCTGCCATGAACACTGTGGTACATGTCTCTTATTGAGTTATGGTTTTCTCAGGGTATATGCCCAGTAGTGGGATTGCTAGGTCGTATGCTAGTTCTAATTTTAGTTTTTTAAAGGAACCTCCATACAGTTCTCCATAGTGGCTATATCAATTTACATTCCCACCAAGAGTGCAAGAGGGTTCGCTTTTCTCCACACCCTCTTCAACATTTATTGTTAGTAGTTTTTTTTGTTTTTTTTTTGTACGCGGGCCTCTCACTACTGTGGCCTCTCCCACTGTGGAGCACAGGCTCCGGGGGACCAGCCGCTGCGCGGCACGTGGGATCCCCCCGGAACGGGGCACGAACCCGTGTCCCCTGCATCGGCAGGCGGACTCCCAACCACTGCGCCACCAGGGAAGCCCGTTAGTAGTTTTTTTCATGATAGCCATTCTGACTGGTGTGAGGTGATACCTCATTGTAGTTTTTTTTGTTCTTTTTGCGGTACGCGAGCCTCTCACTGTTGTGACCTCTTCCGTTGCGGAGCACAGGCTTCGGAGGTGCAGGTTTACGGGCCCAGCCGCTCTGCGGCATGTGGGATCTTCCCGGACTGGGACGAACCCGTGTCCCCTGCATCAGCAGGTGGACTCTCAACCACTGCGCCACCAGGGAAGCCCCCCCTCGTTGTAGTTTTGATTTACATTTCTCTAATGATTAGTGATGCTGAGCATTCTTTCATGTGTCTGTTGGCAATCTGTATATCTTCTTTGGAGAAATGTCTATTTAGGTCTTCTGCCCATTTTTGGATTGGGTTGTTTGGTTTTTTGATATTGAGCTGCATGAGCTGCTTGTAAATTTTGGAGATTAATCCTTTGTCAGTTGCTTCATTTGCAAATATTTTCTCCCATTCTGAGGGTTGTCTTTTCATCTTGTTTATGGTTTCCTTTGCTGTGCAAAACCTTTAAAGTTTCATTATGTCCCATTTGTTGATTTTTGGTTTTCCATTTTTCCATTTCTCTAGGAGGTGGGTCTTGCTGTGATTTGTGTCATAGAGTGTTCTGCCTATGTTTTCCTCTACGAGTTTGATACTGTCTGGCCTTACATTTAGGTCTTTAATCCATTTTGAGTTTATTTTTGTGTATGGTCTTAGGGAGTGTTCTAATTTCATTCTTTTACATGTAGCTGTCTAGTTTTCCCAGCACCACTTATTGAAGAGGCTGTCTTTTCTCCATTGTATATTCTTGCCTCCTTTATCAAAAACAAGGTGACCATATGTGCGTGGGTTTATCTCTGGGCTTTCTATCCTGTTCCATTGATTTATATTTCTGTTTTTGCACCGGTACCATACTATCTTGATTACTGTAGCTTTGTAGTACAGTCTGAAGTCAGGGAGCCTGATTCCTCCAGCTCGGTTTTCTTTCTCAAGATTGCTTTGGCTATTCAGGGTCTTTTGTGTTTCCATACATATTGTGAAATATTTTGTTCTAGTTCTGTGAAAAATGCCATTGGTAATTTGATAGGGATTGCATTGAATCTGTAGATTGCTTTGAGTCGTTTAGTCATTTTCACAATGTTGATTCTTCCAATCCAAGAACATGGTATACCTCTCCATCTGTTTGTATCATCTTTAATTTCTTTCATCAGTATCTTATAGTTTTCTGCATGCAGGTCTTTTGTCTCCTTAAGTAGGTTTATTCCTAGGTATTTTATTCTTTTTGTTGCAGTGGTAAATGGGAGTGTTTTCTTAATTTCACTTTCAGATTTTTCATCATTAGCGTGTAGGAATGAAAGAGATTTCTGAGCATTAATTTTGTAACCTGCTACTTTACCAAATTCATTGATTAGTTCATGTAGTTTTCTGGTAGCATCTTTAGGATTCTCTATGTACAGTGTCATGTCATCTGCAAACAGTGACAGCTTTACTTCTTCTGTTCCGATTTGGATTCCTTTTATTTCCTTTTCTTCTCTGATTGCTGTGGCTAAAACTTCCATACTATGTTGAATAATAGTGGTGAGAGTGGGCAACCTTGTCTTGTTCCTGATCTTAGTGGAAATGGTTTCAGTTTTTCACCATTGAGAACAATGTTGGCTGTGGGTTTGTCATATATGGCCTTTATTATGTTGAGGTAAGTTCCCTCTATGCCTACTTTCTGGAGGGTTTTTTATCACAAATGGGTGTTGAATTTTGTCAAAAGCTTTTTCTGTATCTATTGAGTTGATCATATGGTTTTTATCCTTCAGTTTGTTAATATGGTGTATCACATTGATTGATTCACATATATTGAAGAATCCTTGCATTCCTGGGATAAACCCCACTTGATCATGGTGTATGATCCTTTTAATGTGCTGTTGGATTCTGTTTGCTAGTATTTTGTTGAGGATTTTTGCATCTATTTTCATCAGTGATATTGGCCTGTAGTTTTCTTCCTTTGTGACATCTTTGTCTTGTGTTGGTATCAGGGTGATGGTGGCTTCATAGAATGAATTTGGGAGTGTTTCTCCCTTTGCAGTTTTTTGGATGAGTTTGAGAAGGACTGGTGTTAGCTTTTCTCTAAATGTTTGATAGAATTTGCCTGTGAAGCCACCTGGTCCTGGACTTTTGTTTGTTGGAAGATTTTTAATTACAGTTTCAATTTCATTACTTGTGATAGGTCTGTTTATATTTTCTAATTCTTCCTGGTTCACTCTTGGAAAATTGTACCTTTCCAAGAATTTGTCCATTTCTTCATGGTTGTCCATTTTATTGGCATATAGTTGCTTGTAGTAGTAATCTCTCATGATCCTTTGTATTTCTGCAGTGTCAGTTGTTACTTCTCCTTTTTCATTTCTAATTCTATTGATTTGAGTCTTCTCCGTTTTTTTCTTGATGAGTCTAGCTAATGGTTTATCAATTTTGTTTATTTCCTCAAGGAATCAGGTTTTAGTTTTATTGATCTTTGATATTGTTTCCTTCATTTCTTTTTCATTTATTTCTGATCTGATCTTTATGAGTTCTTTCCTTTGGCTAACTTTGGGGTTTTTTTGTTCTTATTTCTCTAATTGCTTTAGGTGTAAGGTTAGGTTGTTTATTTGAGATGTTTCTTGTTTCTTGAGGTAGGACTGTATTGCTATAGACTTCCCTCTAAGAACTGCTTTTACTGCATCCCATAGGTTTTGGGTTGTGTTTTCATTGTCATTTGTTTCTAGGTATTTTTTGATTTCCTCTTTGGTTTCTTCAGTGATCTCTTGGTTATTTACTAGTGTATTGTTTAACCTCCATGTGTTTGTAGTTTTTACAGATTTTTTCTTGTTGTTGATATCTAGTCTCATATTGTTGTGGTCGGAAAAGATACTTGATACGATTTCAGTTTTCTTAAATGTACCAAGGCTTGATGTGTACCCAAGATATGATCTATGCTGGAGAATGTTCCATGAGCACTTGAGAAGAAAGTGTATTCTGTTGTTTTTGGATGGAATGTCCTATAAATATCAGTTAAGTCCATCTTGTGTAATGTATCATTTAAAGCTTGTGTTTCCTTATTTATTTTCATTTTGGTTGATCTGTCCAGTGGTGAAAATGGGGTGTTAAAATCCCCTACTATGATTGTGTTACTGTTAATTTCCCCTTTTATGGCTGTTAGCATTTGCCTTATGTATTGAGATGCTCCTACGTTGGGTGCATAAATATTTACAATTGTTATATCTTCTTCTTGGATTGATCCCTTGATCATTATGTATTGTCCTTCTTTGTCTCTTGTAGTAGTCTTTATTTTAAAGTCTATTTTGTCTGGTATGAGAATTGCTACTCCAGCTTTCTTTTGCTTTCCATTTGCATGGAATATCTTTTTCCATCCCTAGGTCTGAAATGGGTCTTACGTAGACCACATATATACGGGTCTTGTTTTTGTATCCATTCAGCCAGGCTATATCTTTTGGTTGCAGCATTTAATCCATTTAAGGTAATTATCGATATGTATGTTCCTATTACCATTTTCTCAATTGTTTTGGGTTTGTTATTGTTGGTCTTTTCCTTCTCTTGTGTTTCCTGCCTAGAGAAGTTCCTTTAACATTTGTTGTAAAGCTGGCTTGGTCGTGCTGATTTCTCGTAGCTTTTGCTTGTCTGTAAAGGTTTTAATTTCTCTGTCGAATCTGAATGAGATCCTTGCTGGGTAGAGTAATCTTGGTTGTAGGTTTTTGCCTTTCATCACTTTAAATATGTCCTGCCACTCCCTTCTGGCTTGCAGAGTTTCTGCTGAAAGATCAGCTGTTGACCTTATGGGGATTCCCTTGTATGTTATTTGTTGTTTTTCCCTTGCTGCTTTTCATATTTTTTTTTTGTATTTGA